GAGAGAGCATATACACACATATGCACACACCTACACATACACATCTTTTCTTGGCTGCATATTTGTTAGAATAGCTTGTCCAACCTAACACACATAACTAGACAGCAGTGGAAAAATAGTTAACCCACTTAGAGATCTTCCCAACCAAACATTAGCTCAGTAGGGCTGGCTAAACGCTAGCAGAGTTCTCAACTCTTAAACTTCTGATGCTCTCTGTTGGTGGTTACCTGCAATCTACACTTTCACTTTTTTTTTTTTGCTGCAGTCTAAGCTGATGAGGATCACAATGACAACAACAGTAGGATCTCCGATAGACAAAATGCAAATCACTGGAATTCATTTATTTGGGGTCACATCTTTATGTGGTTGAGAGTAAACTGGTGGCAGAGTTTGGGAATTTTCCTCTGCTAAAAACTATGTGTTCGGTTAAGAATTAGGAACTCCGGTGGTGCAAAGGGTTAAACCCTTGTGCTGGCAAGACTGAAGACCAACAGCTTGGAGATTCAAATCAATAGAGAGCATGGGTGAGCTCCCTCTGTCAGCTCCAGCTCCCCATGCACGGACATGAGAGAAGCCTCCCACAAGGATGGTCAAACATCAACACATCCAGGCGTCCCCTGGGCAACATCTTTGCAGACGACCAATTCTCTCACATCAGAAGCTACTTGAAGTTTCTCAAGTCACTCCTGACATGGGAAAAAAAGTTAAGCATTCAGAGTTTCTCCCAGATATCAGTAACATCAGTGCAAGTAGGGGAGGGCTGTTTTCCTTGTACTATGACTCCCAGTGTGTCCAAAAAGTAGTTCAATAAGACACTTTCCCTCAGTTCTGCATCCATGTCAGTGGGTGGGCATTTCAATACAAATGCACTTACATCTATGTGTCTGTGTGCCTGCGCGTGTGCCTGCATGTGTATTTGAGTTCTCCTCTGCATGTCTCTGCCTTATTGCTACAAATTACCAGAGAAGGAGAGAGTGCTCACACATGGCAGGCTGACTCCAGCACACTTTGTAAATTCTTCCTTCCCTTAGGGCAAGATAGTGCCTTAATTACAATAATAAAAACCCTTTGCTTGCCAGGCTGTCCTCTTCCAGGGATTGTCATTTAACAATTAGAAAGAAGGAGAGAAGAGGCAGCTCCCCAGCAACCGGGATTCTGAGATCTCTGGCTGGCATCCTGGGACTATTTCTAGCAAGCCTCAGCAAGCCTTAAAGCTACACCTTTGTTGCATTCAAAATAAATAGAAGAGGCTACAATTAGTAAGTCTGGGATAAAGTTACCAAGATGGCTGCATTACCCATTATAACAAGAGGTATTTGCTTTCCAGAGACATGGCAATAAAAGAATGGGGGGTGGGTAAGGGGAGAAAGAGAAGAATGGAAAACAAAACAAAGCAAAACACTGTATCTTGGACACATAGTAGATTTTTTCATTCCTTGTATGTACGATTTCCCATAATGATTTACATTAGATATTTTATTTCTGTGCCTTATTTCTGCCCCCCTCCCGCATCCCAACAAAACCAGCAATGATTAGATGTCACTGAATTTGGTAATGTAAGTTATGCATATAATATCATTCATCTATCCTCAAGATGAAACTCTGATGGCACTTTACAGCTGAAGAGTCTAAGACAGCAATTCCTGGAAATGAGCCCAAGTGGGCACAAGGCAGCTTACTTCAGAGGAGACAAAAGGTAAAGGTTTCCCCTTGACATTAAGGCAAGTCATGTCCGACTCTGGAGGGAGGGGGTGCTCATCTCCATTTCTAAGCCAAGGTTATATGGCTGACATGACTGCATGGAGCACTTTTACCTTCCCGCCGGAGCGGTACCTATTAATCTACTCACATTTGCATATTTTCAAACTACTAGGTTGGAAGAAGCTGGGGCTAACAGTGGGAGCTCACCTTGCTCCCCAGATTCGAACTGCAAACCTTCACTCAGCAAGTTCAGCAGCTCAGTGCTTTAACCTGCTGTGCCACCAGGGGCTCCAGAGGAGATGCAGTAGGATTAAATTATGAATCCACAGTCTTGGGGGAAAAATACACTGGGCTCAACAGGATTTACATTTGAGACAACATGTGCAGAATGACTCTGAACAACTTACTAAGACAGTTCACTTAGCCAAAGCCCAGAAAAGCAAAGCCAAAACGGAAACGGGATTTGAATTCAGCTCTGCCACCTCCAATAGCAAGGCTCTATCTCTGGACCACAGTGGCTCTTGACCAACACACAATGCCAGCGCCTTCCAGTCCTAATTTATTTTTCAGAAATGAATGCATGTAATCAGCTCCAGCTGAAACACTCACACTGTGTCTGGGAAGCTGGACTTTTTAAAAAAAGGAACAATAGGAGTATCATTTTATACCTGAAAATAAGGTCACCGGTAACAAGAATGCCTAGTCCATTGAAAAGAGGAGCCACATGGGCACTTCTATGACCTGTCACTGTCTAGTTATACCAACCTAAGCTGTGAACTTCAGAGGAAACTAGTTTTTGGAAGGGAGACGCTACAGATCTCTCTATTTTCTTTTTTCCTTCCAAGATGCACTGAAATGAATGGAGCCCCTGGTGGTGCATAGGTTAAACCATTGTGTCAGCAGGACTGCTGATTGACAGTCAGCGGTTCGAATCCAGGGAGTGGGGTGAGCTCCCATCTGTTAGCTCCAGCTGGGCAACATCCTTGCAGATGGCCAATTCTCTCACACCAGAAGCAACTTGCAGTTTCTCAAGTTGCTCCTGACATAAAAAAAAACCTGAAAGGAATCCCTGCATCACTGAGAGAATGGCTCTGCTTTAGAGTCTACCAGTTGAACTGGGAGATAGGAGGGCGATAAGAGAGCTGAAGAGATTTGAGTTGGGACACTGCTGAACAAAGTAAACTAATCCTATTAAAGGGAGGTTTGTTGACCCAGGTGCTGGCAAAGTCCTAAAGGGGAAACTTGCACTGACTGCTGGCTAGCGGCAGGATGAACTGGGCGGAGAGCGTCCAGTGAGAACAGACTGAGAAGCCACCGTTCCCACCCAGAGGAAAACTTTGAAAAGTAAACAAGAGAGAATTGGAGGATGAGAACAGATAAGGAGGCATATTAATGCCTCTGGCATCCGAAGGCACCAGGCACCGCCAAAAGTGGGGGCGACCTGCCAGCACTGCCAGATGTCCCATAATTCGGAGATTGACCTCCTCCTCTCCCCTCTCCACTTCATGCTTATATTCCAAAATAACTCAAAGACGTGGGAGAGACTTGGTCTCGCAAGCCAAAGAAGCCCTCTTGATCTTGGATGTCTCAAGAACAGTTGTTCTGCGAGCTTCAGAAGTAAACTGGAGACACTCTGCAGATGCTCAGAGGAATTCCCTTCCATCTCAGTCCCAGTCTGGAGTTAAGCCTCAGCCAGGACACCTTCATTCCTGATAGACTTTTCACCAGGCCTCAAGAGAGACGCTATCAGGCCACAGGAATCCGACTCCACTACACTTTTCCATGGAAGAACCACAAATTCCATGAAAGAGGGGACATGATAGGCAGGCTTAAATGCCTGAAAGAAGGTCTCATTGAGAAGAAGGCAAGCTTGTTTTCTGCTGCTCTAGAGACTAGGACACCAAGCAATGGACTCAGACTGCAGGGAAAGAGACTCCACTTAAACATTAGCAAGAACTTCCTGACAGACCTGTTGGATAGTGGAATAAGCTGCCTCAGAGTCTCCTTCTCTGGGGGTTTTTGAGCAGAGGCTGCTTGGCATCTATCAAGAGTGTTTGGGACTGGATGGGCCTTGTAGTCTCTTTCAACTCTCGATCATTCTGAGCAAAAGATTAAATTAAACATCCTGGTGTGTCAAGGAATTGCGCTTTCAATTTTTTAGGAGCCTAACAGAGAGACAAGGGAGGAGAGCTTGGAAAGAAAGATCACTGGGTTGCTGTGAGTTTTCCGGGATGTATGGCCATGCTCCAGAAGCATTCTCTCCTGATGTTTTGCCTGCATCTATGGTAGGCAATCCCTAGAGGTTGTGAGGTCTGTTGGAAACTAGGTAAGTGGGATTTATATACCTGTAGAATGTCCAAGGTGGGAGAAAGAACACTTGTCTGTTGGAGGGCAGGTGTAAATGTTGCAACTGGCCACCTTGATGAGCACTGAATGACCTTGTAGCTTCAAAGCCTGGCTGCTTCCTGCCTGGGGGAATACTTTGTTGGGAGGTGTTAGTTGGCCATGATTTTTTCATGTCAGGAATTCCCCTGGTTTGTTTGTTTGTTTATTTATTTATTTGTTTACTATAGCTCACCGTTCTCAGTCATAGGTGGGTTACAGATTGGCACAATTCGATATCAGGCATTCACAAAAGTGATGGCAGGAAGCAGCCAGACTTTGAAGCTGCAAGGCCATTCAATGCTAATCAAGATGGCCTTGATTCGCATTCCACAGATATATAAACCCCACTTTCCTAGTTTCCAACAGACCTCACAACCTCTTAGGATGCCGGCCATAGATGCAGGTGAAAACGTCAGGAGAGAATGCTTCTGGAGCATGGCCAGACAGCCTGGAAAACTCTCAGCAATCCATGAAAGCCTTCGACAACAGAAAGATCACTTTTTCCTAACTACAGATTACCACCCGGGGTCTCTATAGGGCAAGCAACACCAGGCTGAGCATGTGCGTGGTATTCTAAGGAGTGGAAGACCGTCTCTCCCCCTTTGGGAGCAACAGCTCACATCACACTAGGGGAAAAAATCCACTTAAAATCCGGTTTCTGCGTCCTACAGAATTCTGGGGTTTGTAGTTTAGTGAGGCTGTTAAAGGCTCCTCCCTAAACTGCAAACCCCAGAATTCTGCAGGAGGCAGGAACTGGATTTTAAGTGGATTTTGTTCTTTAGTGTGATGATGAGGCAGGATCCCCGCAAGGGACTTTGCTCGGAGCTGCCAGGAGGTGCCCGTGGCTGCCAACCCACCCGTGCTTCCCTTCCCCTCTTTCACGCCCACCTCCGTCTCCCATCCCGGGGACTTACTGGCGTTCTGGTAGTTGGGCTTGGGGTCGACCTTGTAGACCTCCTTGGCGTAGTACTCCTCGTCGCTGCGCTCCTTCTCGCAAGTGGCGGCGCGGTGGTTGGCCTTCTCCTGGAGCAGGTCCCGGGTGCTGTTGTAGATGGAGATGACCTCCGGCGAGACCTCCTCGGGCTCCGGGTACTCTTCCGGGGGGCTGGTGAGCTTGAGCTTGCTCAGGATCTGGCCCCGGATGGCCTCGATCCTCTTCCGCATGAACTGGTCCATGTCCAGGGTGCTGCAGGTCGAGAGGGCGAAGGCCACCGTCACCAGGTCCAGGGTCAGGAAGACGCTCAGGAGGTAGCAGTGCATCTTCAGGGCCCGGGAAGACTCAGAAGAGAACTCGGGAGCGGGCTTCTGAAGGGGAGGGGGCTCTCCCGGGGCGTGAAAGAGGTGGGCGCAGCTTCCTCCAAGGGGGAAAGAGGGCCAAAGTGGACCCCAGGAGTCCAGCGCGTCCCGGGTGGTTGCTTCTCCCCCGAGCCGGAGAAACCGCGTCCTCTTCGAAAGAGCACCAACAGGTTGAGAAGAGAGGGAGGTGGGCTTTTCGGTGGAGCTGGAGAGTCGTGGGAAGCCGGGGCTGCGAGCGAGGATGCGACAGGTTCCGCAAAGCAGGTTGCTTGCTCTCTCTCTCAAATATTACCCCCTCAAAAGAGACCGAGGGAGCGTAATATAGATTATTGAAAAGCACAGGAGGGACGAGAGCGGAGGAGAGGATCACCACGGCGAGGCGAAGCGTTCTTGGAGAGACGCAAGAGTGGCGTGGGGGGGAAAACGCGCTTCTTCCCCCGAGGGCTGCCTTGCCTTCCCAGCGTCGCCTGCCCGCGCCGCTCTCTCTCTCTCTCCCTCCCTCTCTTTCCTTCCTTCCTTCCTCCCCTTCTTTCCTTCCTTCCGTGGCGACGGCACCGGCTGCCGGCCTTTCCCCCTCTCCCGCAGAGGATGGGAACACGTGTCGGTGCCTTTCGCGCGTGGGAGCGCCTCTCGGGGAGATGCGACTTCGACGCGCGGCAAAGCAGTGGGCAGGCGGCTCTGGACGCCTTCCTGCCTCCCCTCCTTCCTTCCCTTCGGGCCAGAAAAGCTCTCTCTCTTTCTCTCCACCTCTCTCTCTCTCCACGACTCTCCTGTTCTCTTTCTACCCCGCTCTCTCTGTCTCTATCCCTCTCTATTCCCCTTCTCTCTCTCTCTCTCTCTCTGTCCCGCAGCCACCGTCTCGTGGCAAAAAGCGAGCGGGACCGAGCCCAAGTCCTTCTCCTCTCCAAGTCCTTCTTCTCCTCCAACTCTTTGCCCCAACCAACCAAGCAAGCAACCAGCTCGGTCAACTTCCTCCCTCCCTCCCTCCTCTCTCTCTCTCTCTCTCTCTCTCTCTCTCTCTCCGGCTACTTCTGGCTCCACCACTTTTTTTCCAGGAGTTCCCCTCCTCCTCCTCCTCTTCCTCCTCCTTCTCCACAGGTTTTTTTTCCTTTAAAGAACCCCGTCAACAAGGCAGAGCTGCGCCTGCTGCTCTTTCTCTTTTCCCCCTCTCACGCCTGGTGCGCTTTGCCAAGAAAAAGAGCGGAGGGCTGCGCTTCTCGCTGCCTTGGCCCTTCCCTCCTCTTCGCTTGCCCCCGGGGCTGCTTCTCCCCTTCCTCCTCCGGCCCTCTCGGCCTCCTCCTCCTCCTCCTCCTCCTCTTCAGCGCCCCTTCGTTCGCCTGGAGCCGACCAGCGCCACTTTCGCCAGCAGATAGCATCACGCTCCGAGCCGGGAGAGGGAATTTATAAGGCTGGCCGGGAGAAGAGGCGAGAGGCAGAGGCTTCCGCCTGACGGAGGGGGACGGCGCAGCCGAGGGTGGGATTGCCTCCGAGCCGCGCCGGGGCCCACAGCCCTTCCCAGGGCACAGCCAGGCGGCCTCGCCGGCTGTGGGGCGCCTCCAGCCCTCCCTCGCCAGCATAGGGGCATAAGACCTCACCCCTTGGAAGAGGCCCCCGGGGCCAGATCGAGGCACCCTAGACAGTCCACTTCAGGCTCTTGAACGCTACTCAAACCAATGTCGCCATTAAAAAGAAAACCCATAAAGTTGTAGAGACCACAAGGTGCCTCACCAAATCCCCATGGCTCCACAGCATGGACTCATTTCAGATAAAGGGGTCAAACTGCATTCATTGTACAGCAGGCATGGGCAAACTTGGGCCCTCCAACTGTGTTGAACTTCAACTCCCACTGCTTAAAAGGCTGAGGGGGGGGGGAGAAAGGGCCCAAGGCTGTAAGGAGTGCTGGGAGTTGGAGTCCAAAACACCTAGAGGGCCCAAATTTGCCCATTTTTATTTGTCGTGTCAGGGCAACCACTCAATTATATTACATTTCTAACAAAACAAGCAAACAGACAAAATACAACATTTGTGGGTTTGGTAGTTGATTAAATGTCCTTTGACCAGTATCTGGCCACTTGGAGTGCTTCTGGTGTTGCTGCAAGAAGGTCCTCCCTTGTGCATGTGGCAGGGCTCAGGTTGCATTGCAGCAGGTGGTCTGTGGTTTGCTCCTCTCCACACTCGCATGTCGAGGATTCCACTTTGTAGCCCCATTTCTGAAGGTTGCCCATGCCTGTTGTACAGTGTAGCTGACTGAACTTTCCACTAAACCAATGGTTCCCAACCTTTTTTGACGAAGGACCACTTGACCAGGGACCACTTTGACCAGGAACTACTTGACCGGGGACCACTTTGACCAGGGACTACTCTCCAACATTAGTACCTAAAGGGTTACAAATCAATGTATTGTCAAAGGCTTTTTGACTTCACAACCTCTGAGGATGCCTGCCACAGATGCAGATGAAACATCAGGAGAAAATGCTTCTAGATCATGGCCATATAGCCCGAAAAACCTACAATCACCTGGTTACAAATCAGTTTTTGGTCAGCTTTAGTTTCGGTTTGGTTATTTGGGGTGCTGTTTCAGAAAATTGCATTGGATAGACCACATCAGCTCTAGTTTTTGATACAGAACATATACCATCCAGTAGTCACCATCTACTCACCCACAGAAAACCATATTTAATAATCTAGAGCTGATGTGGTATATTCAGTGCAATTTTCTGAATCAGTACCCCACATAACTCCAGGAACAGGCCCTGGCACCAATTTTCCCCACATGTCTCACGGACCTTATTTTAGGTCTCATGGCCCACCCTTGAGTCACGGCCCACAGGTTGGGAACCACTGCATTAAATACACCCAGCTTCTCATAGGACTTGAAGTCCAGATGTTCAACCATACAGAGGTTCCCAAACCCCTGCCATGCAGGAATCCAGTCCAACCCCCTGCCATGCAGAAATAGATGGTCATCCAGTCTCTGTTTAGAAACCTCCAGAGAAGGGACTCCGCCGTCCTTCCAGGAGTACATTCCACTGTTGGACAGCCCTTACAATCAGAAAGTTCTTCCGCATGTTTAGGTAGACTCTGTTTTCCCACAATCTGAATCCATTTCTCCTAGTCTCTGGAGCAGCAGAAAACAAGCTTGCTCCCTCCTCAGTGTGACATCCTTTCAAATGTTTCAGCATGGCCATCATGTCCCCTCTCAATGTTCTCTAAGCTAAACATACCCAGCTCCCTCAGCCATTCCTCATAAGGCTTGGCTTCCAGACCTTTGATCATTTTGATCACCCTTCTCTGGACACATTACAGCTTATCAATATCCCTCTTGAATTGAGACGCCCAGAACTGGACATGGTATTTCAGGTGGTGCATACATTCACAGTTATACTGAGTATAGCTCTGCTCTGGTAGACTTTACACCAGTGGTTCTCAACCTGTGGGTTCCCAGGTGTTTTGGCCTACAACTCTCAGAAATCCCAGCCAGTTTATCAGCTGTTAGGATTTCTGGGAGTTGAAGTCCAAAACATCTGGGGACCTACAGGTTGAGAACTACTGCTTTACACATTCTACATGAAAAGAGGCCTACAGGACAGCTGGAATAAGATTAATTCCCCCCTGAGAAGTCCGATTCCCCCCTGAGAAATCTGGTGTTTTTGGACTTCATCTTCCAGCAGCCTATTCTTTCTTTTCACGTTATGCCCAGATGAACTTGACCAACAATCAGGACTTCTGGGAGCTGAAGACCAAAATATTTGGGGGCCCAAAGTTTGGAAACCACTATCTATATAAATGAAAACGTAATGTTCATTTGTGGGATTAACATAACTCAAAACCACTGGTCGACACCAAATTTGGACACAATACACTTATCAGGTCAGCTAGTGACCATCACTCATAAAAACACTGAAAAACACAGCAGCAGAGACTTAAAAGGCCAAAACAACAAAAATTACATTACAAAACCACACACACACACACACACACCAGCACTCTTATCAGTAAAGGCTAAAAAGCTTGTATAATTACAACTCCCATTATTCCAAAACATTGAACGATTGCAGTTCAAGTGGGGTCAAGCAGCATTCATTCTACTGTGTACATACACACTTGGTGAAGAACGGGCTGAAAGGGCACATGATGGCAAAAAAAGCCAATGGGATTTTGGCCTGCATCAATAGGAGCATAGTGTCTAGATCTAAGGAAGTAATGCTACCCCTCTATTCTGCTTTGGTTAGACACACCTGGAATATTGTGTCCAATTTGGGCACCACAATTCAAGAGAGATATTGACAAGCTGGAATGTGTCTAGAGGAGGGAGACTAAAATGATCAAGGGTCTGGAGAACAAGCCCTATGAGGAGCGGCTTAAGGAGCTGGGCATGTTTAGCCTGAAGAAGAGAAGGCTGAGAGGAGATATGATAGCCATGTATAAATATGTGAGAGGAAGCCACAGGGAGGAGGGAGCAAGCTTGTTTTCTGCTTCCTTGGAGACTAGGACGCGGAACAATGGCTTCAAACTACAAGAGAGGAGATTCCATCTGAACATTAGGAAGAACTTCCTGACTGTGAGAGCTGTTCAGCAGTGGAACTCTCTGCCCCGGAGTGTGGTGGAGGCTCCTTCTTTGGAAGCTTTTAAGCAGAGGCTGGATGGCCATCTGTCAGGGGTGATTTGAATGCAATATTCCTGCTTCTTGGCAGGGGGTTGGACTGGATGGCCCATGAGGTCTCTTCCAACTCTTTGATTCTATGATTCTATGATTCTATGATAGTAACTATGTTTCAGTATTGGAAATGATGTCATATTGAGGAGGGGGAAAGTTTGGTATACTGCTGCTTCAGAGTCTAGGACATGGAGCAATGGTTTCAAATTGCAGGAAAAGAGATTTCACCTAAATATGAGGAAGAACTTCCTATTACAATTGTTCAACTTTTGTGGAACAATTGTGGAAGTGTGAGGAAGCCTCCTTTTCTAGAGGTTTCTAAACAGAGAATGGATGGCCATCTATCCAAAGTGCTTTGATTGTGTGTTCCTGTATGTCAGAATGGGCTTGGAACAGATGACTCCTGTGGTCTCTTCCAGCTCTATGATTCGATGCCCATACCTATGTGGGTGTGTATTGGTGACAGTGGAGCCGAGGTGCTTAACAGCCCAAAAGACAGAATGGCTTCTGCACAGCAAGGGGTTGAACTGGATAGCCCTTGTGGTCTCTTCCAACACTATTGTTCTATGAATTCCGCACTGGTAAGAATAAAACACAAAAGATTTTGGGAGATTTAATCA